AAGAGAGAGAGAGAAAACCAGTGATGCCCTAGATTTTGATATTTATTTCCACAATATTATAACAAAATTAGGAGAGATTGAATTTTATTTTTCTGGCTATATCAGTTGGTATAATTGAGACACATGGGGTATGCACAATTTAAAAAGAAATAATCAGCAAATTTTAATATGTATCCTAAGTTTCGAACAATTTGGAAGCATCTGGATGATTTATTGCATTTTTGCTCTTTATGTAAATGTTTGGTGCTCTGTAGATATAGCCATTGTCTTATTTTTTCTCAATTTAAACTTTTTCTCCAGAAAGATGTTTTGAGAAAGGACAGAAGAATCTGTTTAGTCCTTTCCAAGCCCATTTGTCAAGTGAATCACATTTGTGCCCTCACTTAAAAAGATGGTGTGCAGGGTGAGAGCAGTTTTTGTAAATTAATATCATCAGTAAAACTAAGCTGGCCTCCACATACACCTCCTTGAACTTGTTATTCAAGGCTGCCATGCAGGGCTCCACAGACAGCAGTTTTGGCATAGCCCTGGGGCCCAGGGGAATATTAACTTACAAAGCTTTCCCTATTTTGCTTTTACATGTCTGAAACTATTTTAAAACTCAGCAACTGAAATACAGGTTATTAAATACACTTTACTAGAATGTAAGAAGTGTTTTTGACCCCCCCTTCCATCTCCCACCCTTTGGAGAAAAGATGGTTGGGAAATGAACTAGTATACTTGCAAGACTTAATATACTAGTTACTTCTGAACATCTATATCAACATATAGTCTGGGATTATAAAAGGGTAGTTAAACTGAAAATCAATTTAAGTTTCACCCTAGGATTTAAAAGAATATATTTTGTTTTATTAAATGTCAAGAGTTCTAGCTGAGTAGTCGACTGGGTGTGAGGTGAAATGGTAAAGAGGAATTTTATAGTTTCCAATTGACAGAGCCTCTGGCCAACTTTGCAAAGGTGTCCTTGTCCCCTTCTCTCTGGCTGGGCTCTGTCCCCAGGACAGGTGCCAGATGGGGTGATCCCCTGGAGGGGGTGATCCCCCGAAGGGTGTGAATGTTTATTCATTTTCCATACCTGCCTAAGTATGGCTCAATACATACCGGCCTGTTCTCCTCCGTGTGTGTTCCCCCCCACGGTGCAGGAGCAGACACTGCTTGGGTACAGTCACAGGAGGCTGGGAAGTGTCTGTGGGTCTCTAGCAGCTGGAAAAGGTTTGAGTCCCTTTGGCAGATGTTTGCTGTTCCAGCCACTTCATTAATGTTCGAAACAAAACCCCTGACTATTCTGACCAAAGCCCCACTTTGTGATTGACAGCTAGGGTGTGCTTCCTCTCACAGAAGGGCTTTAAAGTCTGAGAGCAGGAGAGAGGGAGTAAGAAACAGGAAGGTGGGAGCAAAAAGGGAATTGGGCTAGATGCTGTTGCTAAAAATCCAAAATGATCAAGGGATGAGAGAGAGACTCATTTAAAGAGGACAACTTTAGTACAACTAATTAAGATTTGATGTCCCATCTAACATGCTATATAATTTAATTTTCCCTGCGTTCTTGCATTTGTTTATTTATGACACATTCACTGAGAACCTACTATGTGCTGGATGCTATGTGGGTATTTATGATACAAGATGAATAATGTTGCTTAGGGTGTTGGTCCACCAGGAGTTCATTGTCCAGTGGGTGAAATAAACATGCTAAAGACAATAGAGTAAAGGAAATGCCATCAGAGAGACAGGAAGAGTAGTTGACAGCCTTGGGGAGCAGGGAACGCTTCACAAGGGAGGTGACATCTGGAATGAGTCTGGAACTAGTTTTTCTGGGCAGAGAAAGAGGGAGGGGGTGGGATGGGGAGGGCATTCCAATGAAAGGGAACAAGATTGTATGAAAGCATGGATTATGGAAGCCCAACCTTGTGGAGTAGGTTTTATGTCTACCATTTACAGGTGAAAAAACTGAGGCTCAGCTTAGGTTGTGACAAGATCGCAGGGCTCCAGACTCCAAGATCTGGAAACTCTCCCTCTCCAGCGGCACGTGGGCACTTGTGCCCGCACACCCGCCTCGGAGATTTCTTGCCACTGTAGCAGAAAACCAAAAAAAAAAAGTCACATCCAAAGAGCTGAATCGGAACGCTTCACTTCTTTAGCTATTGAATCGCCGCAGATTTAAAATCGAAGGATGAGACTTGCGGGAGAGTCTGGGTGGATTTTGTGCCAGTGGCCGAGTGGAAGCGGGACAGAGTAAGAGCGCAGGGGACGCGGCCAGCCCAGGCAAGGCTGGTCGGAGACTGTTCCCAGGGTCCTCCGGAGCTGCCCCCAGGGAGCAGCATGCAGCCGCCCGCGTGGCAGCGCCGCGACGCAGGGGTGCACCAGCGCAAGTCTAGACCCGGGGTTGGAAAGAGGGAAGAAGGAGAGGAGGAGGGGGGAAGAATAAAAGGGGAAACAAGGATGAACGATGGGGAGAAGGAGAAAGAGGGCAGAAGAGAGAAAGGAGAAACAGAAAATTCGACGGAGGAGAGGAGGCCAAAACTGCGGGGAACGAGGGAAAGGGAGAAACGGGAGGGAAAAGAAGAAAGGAACTAGTAGCGGGGGAAGGAATGGGAAGAGAGGAGAGAAGTAAAAAGGTTGACGAAAAGGCGAGCCGTGTTCAGAGAAGACCCCAAAGAGTGGCCCGGGGTGCGCGCATTCCGTGTGCACACGCCAGGGCCTGGCACAAGTCTAAACGCGCACCCCTCGGCCCCTGCGGGCGTCAGATCGCGGTGCTGTGGCCCAGGTGCCAGACCCGCGTGCTCCAAGCCCGCCTCGTGGTGGGCACTGCTCGTGGGGTGGCCCCCACGCGGCGAGCCCTGGGACCCAGCTAAACACTCAGTTTACCGGCTGCGGTTGTAGCTCTGCACTTTCCTGCGGGCGCAGAGAGCACCCCGTCCAGCATTGCCTCGAGGCTGGGTAAAGATAGCAGCAATCGGACAATAAATATCATTTTCCCCTTCAAATAGTATTTCTGTCCTTGGGCTCCCGGCTATTGCGCAGCGGGTCCCAGCTCCGCCCACGCCCAAAAAAGAACCCCTGGGTCGTGGCGTCGCGCGGTGGCTCCCGGGCTGAGCGGTGAGCCTCGTGCAGCGCCTGGGCAGCGGACTGCCGCAGGGTCCTGCCGCCAGAACAGGGGGCGCGCCAGGGCCCAATGAGGCGACCCCAGGGCCCTACAGTGGGACACACGCCACCGCCGGGACACTGGGCGGTAGTTTTCCCCAGTCCATGAGCAACCTCTGCGTGGAGAAAAAGAATAAACGAAAACCATTGTGAATGGTGGGGAGGGGAGGAGAGTCAATTTGCAAACGCTTGGGGGAAGGAAGTTCCTCAAAGATGCGGTGCGGGCCATGTCTCATGCTAGGCGACGACAGGGTCTATTAACATCTATTTTCTCTAAGAGCCTAATTATTAGTTCTCCAGGTGGGCTCCTCCTCCTGAGTTTAACCGCCGGCCCAGGCGCGCGCACTGACTTGCTTCCGCGGCTCCCTGGGTCCCCCAGGGCAAACAGCTCCTCAGGGAGCCCGCCGGCACTCGGGGCTGCTCCAAGGTTGCGAGCTGCGAGGAAATGTCACCGGCCCCAAACTCGGCCTTAAACAAGGCCGTCCGCGTCTATAACTCCCAGTCTCTATCGAGTGTTTTTCTTCCAACCCCCGCGCACACCAGTTCCGACACGCAGCGGTGGAAACCAGCGCGCCCCGGGCTGTTCCCGCTGACCGCCGGGCGCAGCGCAGGTAGCCGTCCCGGACACCGAGGCTTGGCAATGAAAAACAAAATTTCGTACAGATAGTGATCGGAACAGACTCAGGGACTAGGAATCTAGAGGGAAGAAGGCAAACCACCCAATAAACCTGTGTCGTCGCAGCTCCCGGGTCCTATCGCGTCGCAGGTGGACCCGGGGACGGAAAGCCGCGTTGTCGCGCCTGCCCGAGGGCGCGCCAGCTCCCTGGGAGCTCTCTGCGCGGGCCATTTCCTGCCAGAAAGAATGTTTTATAAAGAGTTTAAACGTTTTTAAAAATCCGCATGTTTTTATTTACTTATTTGCGGTTTATTCTTGGGGTAACGGACGCGGCCAGGATCATTTGTGGCTTGGGATCTGGATGGGGCAGTCAAGTTTGTAACTTTGGCGCAAACGCTCCACGCTCGGAGCGCGCGGGCTCAGCGCCGGCTGCGGGGCCGCGAACGGAGAAGGAAGCAAGCCGCAGTCTTCGAGAAACGGTCCCCACAGGAGGGAGAAGAGCTAGGTGGTCCCCAGGGGCGCCGGCGCCGTGGCCCAAAGCCCAGGGAACCTCGGCGAGGACTCGACTGCTTTCTAGTAGGAGACCTGGCCATGCCTCCCGCCGGGCTGCCGGCGTAGAGAGCAAGCGGGTGGCAGGACCGGTGCTAAGGTGTGCGTGGGGGACACCACCCCGAAGAGCGGTCGACTGAGGCCTTGGCCGCGGGCGGCGCGCGCTCCCCGCACCGCGCGCGCACACACGCGCAC